AGCATAATGGTTGCACACATTTGGGGGTGTATGTGATATTTGCTGGCATTCATACCCTGTTTAATGAGCAATCGGGGTAATCTGGATATCTATTGCCTCAAACATTTATCTTTTCTTTATCTAGCTATTTTGAAAAACATAGTGAAGTGTTACTTTTTGTTTGTTTTTGTGACTTGTTTCTAACTGTAGTTACTCTACTGTATTATTAAATGGTAGATCTTATTACTTCTAACTGTATTGCTGTGCCCACTGAACTAGCTCTTTTGATACCCCTCTCCCTTTCCTAGCTTCTGGTAAGCACCAATAAACTCTCCTCCTCCATGAGACTGACATTTTTAGCACCCGACGTATGAGAGAGAACATGTGATAAGTGTCTTTCTGTGCCTGGCTTATTTTATTTAAAACAATGACCTCCAATTCCATCCGTGTTGCTATAAATGACAGAATTTCACTTGGGTTGTGGCTGAGTAAAAGTCCATTGTGTATACATGCTACATTTTCTTTATCCATCTATCTACTGATGAACATTTAGGGTAATTCCGTATCTTGGCTATGGTAAGCACTGCAGTAACAGGGGAGCACAGATACCTCTTTGGTATACTGGTTTCCTTTTTTTGGATTCAACCTACCTGGTAGTGGTGGTGTCAAATCATATGGCATTTCTATTTTTATAGTTTTTTGAGGAATCTCCATATTGTTTCCACAGTGGCTTCATAGTTTACATTCCTGGGGCCTTTCTGGGTCCCATCATTGCCACTTTTTATACTACAGGCAGTATTAAGTTGATTCAGGATTATTTGGAAAGTCATTGTGTACAAATTGAAACTCAATAAAATTTTATACTTGAGGTTAACTATTTAAAGAGTAAAGAACATGGAATAATAGTGCTATCACCCATATTTGATAAAGAATTCAACATATAGTTTAGGATTATGGTGAAATATCTAGTCATTAAACACACTACCTCAGAGTAATAACTGGAGTATTTTCCTAACAACTTAAAGATTTTCCTTGAGGATATGTTAACTTTATAACTTTGTAAAATATCTTGATAAAAATCAGAATGATTTTTGTGATTTTTTGATGATGAAATAAATCTTGAAGAATATCAGGTAATAGAATAGATTTAAAAGAGTTTCCTTAGACAGGGCACATATGCTACTTAAATGAGTAGGGCAGGCATGATTCCATAAAGGAATCACTTTCTGTTTGTCAGTCTCATAAGCAATGTCTTTAAATGATCTTGCATTGAAAAGGCACTTAAAATTAGGCTTTGATGAAGATATTAGAAGTTACATTAATAACTATGACACGTATAGCCACAGATGCTTCTAATGATCATGTTTAAAATACTATTTGAATTTAAACTCTAAGACCCTGACAGTGGGTGAATGACATTACACTATAGTGATTTCCATTCTTTAGCACACATGAAACATGGTAATATTTATATATTTGTTAAACTGAAATAAATAGGTCAGACCACTGCTGAATAGAGTTAACTGACATGGGAGCTTCTGCTGCGCTAGCACTGAGGGAATTAGTGGTTGAAGCTGGCAGATAACCTAACTCAAAACTCAGGTTGGCAAGTTCAGCCATTGGATATCTGAAGTGGCATAGTAGCTATCAAGGGAATTATAATATTCATCTCGCTCAGGATCAGTCAAGTGCCCTCTCATTTCATAAACCCTAGAGCTAGAGGAAGTTAAAGCCAACTGCACTACATTCTAAATTTCATCAGAAAAAACGGCAGATTCTGCAGCTCTGCAGAGTGCTGTTCCTTCACTTATTTTTTTAATTGAAAAAGTGAGCTGACAGCTCTGGATGTGAAGTTGGTTTACATGTACAAGCTGCACTTATTTCAGAAAGTATTTTTAGCTGAATTACAGGGCTATAACACATGTAAGTTATAATGTGTACAATTCCAAATTCTCATGAGCTAAAGCCAATAAAGGTAAAATTTTTTGTTGTTAATATTTGACAGGGATTTCTCAGATGTGTATCTTCATGAAAATTATACTTTGCAATATAGTAAATAATATTCTCAACTCTACCCTTGATGTAGAGAAATTACTTCTTATAGAGCTGTTTCAGACAGTAACAATGTATGTTGGAATCTCACCAACATAAAGATAATTTTATGGGGTGGGGAAAAATGGGGGAGATAATAACGTTGTTGATAAAATTAATACTCAATTATCTATTAATTTGTCTTGAACTATAGGTAGATTTTATAATATAAAATTAATGAACCACGTATCTCCAGTAATATATTTTCTTTTTTTTTTTTTTTTTTGCAGTTTTTGGCTGGGGCTGGGTTTGAACCTGCCACCTCTGGCATACAGGGCCAGTGCCCTACTCCACTGAGCCACAGGCACTGTCACTCTTTTCTTCTTTATTAAATCATAACTGTGTACATTGATGCATTTATGCGGCACAAGGTGCTTATTGATGTACAATGTGGAATGCTTACATCTAATTGATTAACATAACCATCTCCTCACTTATTTATGGTGGTAAGACAGTCATACTCTATTCTTTTTTTTTTTTCTTTTTTTTATTGAACGGTAACTATGTACATTAATGCACTTCTGGGGTACAGTGTGGGGTTTTCACATGCAATCTGAAATACTTCCATCAACTGGTCAACACAGCCTTCATGTCATTTTCTCAGTTATTGCTTTAAAACATTCACATTCTACTCTTAGAAAGATTCACCTGTACCCCTATAACATACTCTATTCTTAATAGTTTTGATATGTGCCATTGCATTATACACATTAGGTGAGGTCCCCCAAATACCCTCCCTCCTCCTACCTTTACTTCCTACTCTCCTCTCTCCTTTCTCTTCCTCCTTCTTTCTGGACTGTAGTTATGTTTTACCATTCCTATGAATGTATAGGTGATTATATAGTGATTTCATAGTAGTATTGAGTACATTAAATACTTTTTTCTCCGTTCTTGAGATACTTTACTAATAAGAATATGTTTCAGCTCCATCCGGGTAAACATAAAAGATGTGAAGTCTCCATCTTTTTTATGGCTGCATAGTATTCCATGGCGTACATATACCACAATTTGTCAATTCATCTGTGGGTCAGTGGGCTTTTGGGCTGCTTCCATGACTTGGCAATTATGAATTGAGCCACAATAAACATTCTGGTGCAAATATCTTTGTGATAAAATGATTTTTGATCATCTGGGAATATGCCTAGCACAGGAATTGCAGGATCAAATGGTAGGTCCACTTTTAGCTCCCTGAGTATTCTCCAAACTTCTTGCCAAAAAGGTCATATTAGCTTGCATTCTCATCAGCAGTGTAGAAGCGTTCCCTTCTCTCCACATCCATGCCAACATCTCTAGTTCTAGGATTTTGTGATGTGGGTTAATCTTAGTGGAGTTAGATGATCTCTCAAAGTGGTTTTGACTTGCATATCTCTGATGAGTAAAGATGGTGAGCATTTTTTCATGTGTTTGTAGGCCATGAGCCTGTCTTCTTCAGAGAAGTTTCTCTTCAAGTCTCTTGCCCACATAAAAATGGGGTTATTTGTTCTTTTCTTAATGATTAGTTTAAAGTTATCTGTAGATTCTAGTTATCAGACTTGTCAGAAGCATAACCTGAGCATCTCATAAATGTTGGATGAATGCCCATACATTGGCCAACAATTAAGAATACAGCTATTTCATGATCAAAATTGAGGGAATTATAACTTAAAAACTCTCTAGTTTTGGAATTTTAAGTGCTAATAAGAGCATATTCCTGGTACAAAAAATGGGGCATGTCCCAGTTACTGCAGAAGTTAAATTTTCATTTCATTATTTCACAGGCATCCATCACACCAACTAAATGTGATCACTCTATCAACCAATGGCTCTTCTGTGATAGAACATTTCCCCTTCCCCTATATTCAGATTGTTTTTTCTTTTATATTACCATTGATTATATGGCAAAGCATTTCAATCACTGACCCCCCACAAGCTTTGGCACTGCATGAAGGAGAGCTCTCTGGAGGGTGGCTGATCCCACAGTGAATTCTGTGTCAGTGATAAATAAATTGGTGTTGTGTTTAAACTATACACCAAAAGAGCATATGCCTGAAATTTTGACAGTCCAATATTAAAACCAAACTAGAACAAGGAGGCAGAGTTCTTCTTTTCAAAAGAAGTGTAAATTTTCTTTGAAGGGAGTTATGAGTAAGGAAGAACCAGTCGTATTTCTTGCACTTGCCTATGAAGATCTGACATGCTCCTCTTGGACCTGGAGATGCCTTTCTACTGCAGCCAAGCTGGACACCTTAATCCTCATACTCACCCTGTTCTTCCTCTCTATTTTAATCAGGCACATTCTTTACATCTCAGCATAAGTGTCAGTTCCTCATGAAATCTTCTCTGACTCAGAGAAATCTTTTCTTAAAGGCTCTCGACGCACCCGTGTCTCTCTGCTTTATTGCACTTGCTCCAGTTTCATTTAATGTATTCAGATAGAGAACAATACCGTGAACCATCAAGTATCCAATATCCAGCCTCAACAATTGATCACATTTTCTCTTCTTTTTCATTTATTCCTCATTTTCTGAAATATTTTAGATCAAATTCTAGACATCATATGTTTCCTATAGAGCTTTTAAAAAACACAAATCACAACACTATTGCCACCACCAGCAAAATGAGCAATTCCTTAATATTATCAAATGCCCCAGTTATACTCAATTTCATGTTATTGCTCCAGAACACCCTGTTGTATTTAATTTTTCCCAGTCAAAATACAAACAAGATCCACACATTGCATTTAGTTGGCATGTAATATTAATTATTTTATCATTTTAAATGATTTTTTTCCTACGTGATTTATTTGTTAAAGATACTGGGTCACTTGTACTACAGAACTTCCCACATTCTTGATTTGGCAGATTATGTCCTTTCAGGGTAATTTAATGTGTTCCTTTCTCCCCTAGAGTCTCTGGAAAAAAGCAATTAGATCAAGAGGCTTATTAAACTTACTCAGGTTTGGGAAGAATATATTGTATATGGTGCTTTGTGTTTTCTATTTCATAACACCAGGAAACACATCATTTGTTATCCCAGAGATATCATTTGGTATTAATGATAATGTTATAGTCTACCTCCCCATTAAACCGTTAGTTTCCTGAGAATTGACACACTATGTGTACTTATTAAGAAATGTTTATCTTCAGTGCTTAGTGCAATTGTCAGTGTTTAATTAATTAGATGAACTATAAGAATATTAGTTTAAACGTAGCAAGCAGTTTCTTTAAAAAATTGTATTTCTATGATTTTACATATCTGATTCTCTTCCGGTGACAGTAGCTGACGAATGATAGGAAAGTCATACCTGCAAAATTGTGTAATTGATGGAATGATAGCATTTCAGCACTGAGCCTCCAGAACATGGAAGTAAAGTGGTTCTCACTTCCTCAGGGTTGAAAAATCAGATAACATTGAGGATAGATTAAACATTACAGCTAGAACTCTTCAATGGCGATTAATTTTGAGAATTCATGAAGATACATTATATGTCCGGTGTATAGTTGATATGCAGCAAAAATGTTAGGTTGCTGCTACTTTTATCATCATCATTATCTTAACTATCTTTAAATATAGTCAAAGACTTAAGAATTTTATGCTGATGAGCTTTTCTCTATTGGGACAGTGATGCCTTCTTGTATTTGCTTCCTCATGTTGCCCGTAACTATCTATTAGTTCTTTATAATATATATAATACATGTGATTTAAGTTTTAGAGAGTACGGCTAAAAACAATTTTATTATCTAGTTAAATATTGTAGCTAGCTCTACATTTCTTACTTTGGAGACTGAATGTCAATTTCTCATGCAAGTTATTGGAGTAATTCCTACACCTCAAAATGTTGTCACAGTGGTGATGTAATAAGTAATGCATATAAAGCATTTAGCATTGAATCTGACACATAGTAAACAATAAATGTCACATAATGTTAATTTCATTCTTATGATATTATTAATATGTTATGGGATTCTTCTGAAATATAAGTTTATTCAAACACAGATTTTTTTCCCATAAAAATAATTTGGTCTTCATGTGGATTGCTGGGTATGACACTTTGGGTAAAAGCTATCTTTGATATGATGTATAATATTGATATGCTACAATAATTTTAACTAATATTTTTCATACCATTTTCAGTCGCTTAGTTACTCTAGCCTAAGCACTGCTTAGTGCTTCTCATATTTTTATTTCATTTGGGCCTTACAAGCATTTATAAGACAGGAACTATTATTATATGGATTTTACAGATAAAAAAGCTGGAGTTAGAAAGGTTACCAGGACTCACAGACACCATACGTCTGTTAAGTGGATAAAATGCACTGCAATCTCTATTTATGTGACTGTAGAACTCTGCCTTAGCCAGTCCGTTCTATTGTTTTCCTGTAATGTGAGAATATAAAGAGCCTAAGTATTCTCCCTGTAACTCTAGCATTGAAACTAAAATCTGGCTGGTATTAAATGAGCTCAGTCACCTAAAGAATCATCATTATGTTCCACTTTAAATTTTTTTGACTCTAATTTTTTTTAAAATTTATAAATTAAGAAAGTAAAATAAAATAAATCTCATAAAAATTGTTTATATCCCCACTCTAGAGACAACTCTGCATGACAAAATGTCCTAGGACTCTTACAGGAAAGACATTCTTTACCAGTAAAGATCTTTAATTAAAACTATAAAAGCCTTGTGTAATACAGAGCAGAAAAAGGAATGGAGATATTACAAAATTGGGAAATATCCAAGTTCTTCTTAAGCAGAGTTAGATCATTTAATCTTAGGAGAAGAGAAGTATTGTTATGTTCTTGGATGGATTTGAGTGCATCCGTCAGCCCTTAAGATCTTGAAATGCCACTTCAGAACAAATCACACATTCAGCATATGGTTCAGACCCTAATCATTGAATCTGAAGGACCCTGGACTCATTTGTCAGACACAGAAAGCTTTTGAAATTTGTTTTTCTGTGACTTACTCAAGAGTGATATAACGGTAATTCTCAATAGCCTCTTTTCATACATGTTTTCTTCGCACAGCCCATAATCACTTTCGTTCAATGGTATGCATGTAAGTGTCTATCAACAATTCAATGCGATTCTACATCACGTTGTACAGTCCCCCCGCCCCCCGTGTGGCACGATGGCTTCCTAAAGCTTCTTCCCTGAGGATGACTTAATAGAAAGGTTTTATGTAAATATAGGGGAGTTAACATTTCCTTCTTTTTGACTTAGAAGAAACCGCTGGTATTAATGAACCTCTCAGGCAGCCTTACTCCCCATTCAGCATAGTGCCACAATATATGTTGCTACTTCACTTTTCCTTTTTTTTATCTTCTTTATATGGGTGGGTTCTAGGTAGGGCTCCTCTCTACCTTGGGTCATCAGTCCATAACTTTATCCCATTTACTAGGAAGGCAGCTTGAAGAAGAGGTGAGAGAGAGCCCGCTTGCAGAATTTAAGCTTCTTTTGGTGCTTTTAGTACACTTCTGGTACAGTTTAAATTTTTAAGATGACTTTCCCTAACTTCTTTAATGTTACTTCTGCCAATAGATCAAATTTTGTTTTGCTATGAAACTAAAAATCTGCAAAACAATTAAATGCAACACTAACGTAACTGAAATTACACTAAAACATCATTAGTCTTTACTAATCACGTATTTAAGGAGTCCATGGATAAAAGCAATCCTCCTCATGATGGACAGTACATTTCCTCTTGAAAGAACAAGACAGCCCAGAAAGTCCCTTTTTTCTCTGTTTACCACTGTAGTACATTTACCTAACATTTTGATACTTCATAATTTCTAAATTATGGAAGGTACTGTCACTTTTGAGTTAAACACATTTTCCAGTGTTAATTCTAATATATTATTTAAAATAGCTTTGAATTAGTAAAGTACAGTTATATTGAGAGAAGTCAATTTCTCAAAAACATATGTCCATAGTTTACCAGCAATAGTAGTACACATTTTGATGTAAGAAATGTGCAAATTAAAAAAAAATCTTTAAAGATATTGTCAGTCTCACTACAGGGTATTAAGGAGAGAAGGTTATGTAGTAAAAGTGAGCTCTCTTATTGAAATCATTTTTGATCTTCTAATAATATGGCACACATTGATATGAGCATCGCCCAGAAGGCAATATACTCCAAGACCTTGAAAAGATATCTCCAGCATTGTGGTTCTAAGAAGCATTAAAAATATATATACCTCAGTGGCTTCATTTCCTTCTTGAAGTTCTTTTTCAATCTCTTGAAATCTGGGTTCAGTCTTGTTAGTTTTTTCAGTCGCTGTCTGTGTCTCCTCTTCATAGGTCATAACGAGTATGCCCAAGAATAAACTCGCCATGTAAAAGGCAAACCAAAAGCTTACCACAACAAAAAAGACCATGTAGACTTTTCCAGAAGCATAAAGTATCTAAGAAGAGGTAGAATATAAGACACAAGAGAAAAACATTATTTATCATCCTGTATTCTCCCATGTTGAGGCTAAAAATGAAATTCTGTTATGAAAATAATTTAGCCATAAGTGGAAGAGAATCATAGTATAGATTAAGTCCTGGCTCTACCTGAAATAAACAAAAAGCTCTTCATCTTAAGGCATGTGTAAACATATAGAAAATCAAAGGAAGAATTTATTATAATAATTCAGTTAATTAGGATGAGCATTTGACTTTTATGTTTTAGTATCCATTTCTTACATATAAATATGTAAAGAAATATGTTAATATTAAAAAAACTCAAATTATACTTCATGATTTCCCCTGGGTCAGAAGGAAGCTAATACATAGGATATTCAACTGTATAGGTAATGCTTTATTTCTTAATGTATTTGGAAATGCATTATAGCATTTGTATAAGTACATTCTATAAAATTATATAACAGAAAAAATAAAAAATGGAGGAAAAACACTGAAAGAAAAACTATCAGCTCTCAATAAAGAAGCCAGACAGTCTTGACACAGAAAGTTATTTTCTTAGGAGTAGAATGCTTAAATATATGACATTTAATCAAATAAGAGGATATTTGGGGATCACCTTCTTCTGAACATTTCCTCATGAAAGAGTCACAGCAAAATGCAAAATCATGTCTATACAAGGGGTGAGAAGTAGTAATATTTCTATGGCCGGAAGAGCACCTGTTTTGGAGAAGAAGCTTTAGACAAGCCAATGGGAATTTCATATAATTCATTAATTCATATATATATATAGTTATTAGAACAGGTGATATTTATGGGTAGAAAAATATGAAATTTCAGATTTCAAAACTGAGCATCAACTAGCTTCTATTTTCCAATAATTACTTAAGGTCTTCCAGAAAATTTAAAGATTAAAAATTATAAGTAGAGCATTAAAAATGCAAAATATTACTTGCTGATTTATTCTCATCGATTAAAAGTACATGAACAATTTAAGAAAACAAATAGAATAGTCTTAATTAATATAAGTGTTAAAAATACTTGAATTAAATCAATATTTCTAAATTACTAGAAAATAATAATCTCCCAAACATAAGCTGTTCTCTTTGGGAATAACTGCAAATTTCTGTAGTCATAATTAATTCAGTTTAAGCAATGCTCTGAGTACAAATTTAGGCCAAATCAAAGCAAATTCTATCTATTGTAATGGAACTTCTCTTCAGAGAAAACCTGAATCGTCATGGTAATGAATATTATACCTTTCTGAGAAAAACCAGGGGGCACATATAATTAGTTATAAAGGCAGACTCTCAAAATTTGAATTTCAAGTTTCCTTACAGCAAGCCTTCTGATATCATGATGGGAGTGTGATTAAATAAGCAAAATGAAATGAGAAGAAATAGAATAAAAAGAAATAGAGCATTATATGTATATATATATACACACACAATAAAAATGCTTAAAATGTGGTAATATTATAAGTTCAAAGCATTTTAACTAAAAAAATTACTATCGAGAAATGTTCTTTACTTGGTTAAAATCAAATGCATACTATCACAGGCATTATAGTGAACAGTAGGCTGAGCTCTCATGGTTCACTTATGAATTTGGGGCAGATATCCAACCTCACTGAATTTCAGTATCTTCATATAGAAAGGAAAGTATAGATACACACACACACACACACACACACACACAACCACTCTCACATACACTACTCAAAGATTAAGTAACATATCAAACACAAAAGCACAAACCTGGCACAACAGCCAGCATATAGTTTCACATTCAATAATTCTGGTTCTCTTTTCTTTTGTTCTTAAATTGTTTTCCACATAAAATTTTAATGAAAGAAATTACATTTGATCATTATTTTAGAAGGGAGGGAATGGCGTCATTCTTAAGAGCAGCCCCGATTCTCTCTGTTCTCACCTGGTGATAAAGGTTTTCAGGGAAATCCTGGGTCATTAACCGAAATAGGGCCAAGAAGGCCCAGCCAAAATTGTCAAAATTTGTGAAACCACGATCAGGATTTAGGCCAGCTTTTACACACACATAACCTTCAGGACACTGACTGAAGGAGAAAAAGAAAAGAAAATTGCTTACTGTTAGGTGATTTTCAGTTTACAGTCAAATTATAAATATAGAACATCTGTCCGCAAGTAATAGAGGGCTCCCTCTATCACAGCGAGTGATTAGTGTTCACCCAATTGCCAGCCATAAACTGCAAACCAATCAGGTTTCAATGAGATGCACATGTTAATTACACTAAACTAAGATCTCATAAGTGGTTTTGCTATACCTTTTGTACTATTTAAATGAAAATTTTATAATTTTAATTTTTGTACACATTTGTTGTATGAAACATGATATTTGGATTAGGTACACATTGTGGAATGGTTAAATTGAGCCTACTAACATATGCATTATCTCACTTTTTTCTGTCATGAGAAGATTTAAAACTTATTGTCTTAAAAATTTTTAAGAACAGAGTGCACTGCATTAATTATGGTCTTACTACCCAATATCAATATGTCATAGTGAAATTACAACTGATGGAAATAGTGCTGGTAAAAATCCAAATGCAGTCGTTGGAGTTTAATTTTCCAATGATCCCATCTGAAACCCTTAGAGCCCATCATTTAAGGGTGAGAAAACATTTATCACATCAATAATTTATAAGCAGTGTTTGCCTTTGGGGAGATAGATCAGATGAAATATTTATGTCATTTCTTTTCAGGGCCTACTCATTACTTTTATCTACTGAGGGGCTTTGGGGTTGTGGCAAATTATTATAGTAGTTGCCCAATAAATCGTGCTTCTCACTCTCCATGCCTTCTCTATGTTATTCTGGGTATAGTCATGTGACTTGTTTTAGACATTTGTTAATGGAACAAGCAGAGATTTAGAAAGTACTTTGTGTACCGGACTTGCTAAGTCATTGACCTACAGAATTGGAGCAGATAAAGTTTTGCTGTTGTAAGTCACTAAGTTTTGGAGTAGTTCACCATGCACTACTGCATGCAACCTATGACTGCCACCAGTGAAACTGTGTGACTTTCCTTCTTGCCTTGAAATATATCACAGTGTTCCGAATATCCATGATCAAGTATCTTCAAAATGCATTTCAGGTCATATTTGAGCATGAATACACATACTAAAGATTAGCTGATGTGAGATGAGACAAAGAGATGAGTTCACAATTAGAGTTTGAGAATAGAATGGAAGTCCAGAAGAGGCTGAGCAACTAAGCAAGCGATAAAACATCTGAACCAGCTGAATTTAGCTAACCTGTTTAGCTCATGTTCCTCCCCACCATGTGCCAGGCCAACCTGGACCACAGAGCCTAGGAAGGAGCCGAGCATAGAGTCATGCCCACTGAGCAAAGCAACACAAGGAAATTATATGAGTCACACAGTGCTGAGAAGTGCTCTGTTTCTGCTTTCAGGATTATAATTTTTAATGGAAATTAGAGGATAGTAAGATACAAGAGTTTGTCATCTCACTGAAAACTTATTTATAAATACTGTGTTTAAGATCAACCACCATTTTTTTAATCTAAATTATAGCCATAAAAGATATATAAGACATGAAATAAGTGAAATAATAACATATCCCTGACATTTCTTTTCTCCAAAAGCATTCAAAGAACAGATTTATATTGTCTTTCTTTTTAATTTTCCCGGGGTAAATGAAAAATAGAAAATTAGATCCTGAAGTTTCAGCTCTGCCATTTACTGGATTCTTGACCCCAAATAAATTATTTTGTTAGTTTACCTATTGCTTTTTCTATAAAATTGGGTTAATAGCATTCCACGTTTCACCCTTCTGCTATGCTGTGAATGTTTGTGTTCCCTTGACATTTATATGCTGACCCCAAGGTGTTAGTAGGAGGTAGGTGGCTAAGTTTGGTAAGTGTCTTTAGACAATAGGCCCACGAGAAAACCCTTGCCCCTTCTACCATGTAGGGAAACAGCAAAAAGACACCATCTAAAAACCAGAAGATGGACTTCATCAGACACCAAATTGTCTAGCACCTTCACCTGGACGTAACCTTCCAGACTGAAAAATAAATGGCTGCTATTTTAAAACTACTTAGTCTGTGGCATTTTGTTATAGCAGCCTGATCTCAGCAAGGCTAATTCTCAGCATGGTTTTGGCAATAAAATGAGGATAATGTAATCAAATGGGGATCATCAGTAAACCCAATGATCATTCAGTAAGTAATACTGTTAAGTGATAATGACTTGATAGCAGAAAACACGAACGCCACTTACCCAGCATCTGTTCTGTTACCACAAGGGAGGGCATTTATTTCTCCCTCCAAATAATAAAAGATTTCTGTTTCTGAAAGATAGGCAAGAAATGATATTTTATATCAAATCTCTAGCAAATAGCATATCTGAGGTCTACTTCAATCCCCACAGAAGACAAACATCTTCCTCTGTAGCTGAGAAGAAAGGATCACATATCCCGGTTTTTAATCTAACATCTGATACACAAGACAAAGTCTTTGAAAGTCCAGAAAGATGTTGAATGTTCAACATTCTGGGGGAAAACTGCTGTGCCTTCAAGAAAAGGTTTAATTGTTTACCTACATGGCGAGTGGCTCTTACCTCGAAAGTAGTACGGATTCCCAGTTCTGTTGTGCAGGGTTTCATTTTCATTTTCTCGGGGCAACCACAGACACTTATGCTTCAGGTTGCCCATGAAGAGCCCCATCCCAATTAGAGAAAATACGCTCAGAAAAAACAGAGTTAAGATAATGGCGCCCATCAGTTTCTTCAAGCAATGGATCAGGGTCCCCATACGGGACTGCAGACCTGAAACAAGAAAGGTTTGTTCTTGGTGAAATCAAACGTCTTAGTAAAGCGGTGTTAGGGAGCCTCTTTCATGCCTATGCATGCTTTATTGAAATTAATAGCTTGGTGTCTTCTAATCTGAATATTCCATAGTCAGGTCTAATAATAAGTCAAACCTTGGGGTTTCTATATACGTATTACTGCTTAGTTATAACACCTGACAAAATAATTCGAGCATAATATTACATATTAGTTGTTTTCTCCTCTTTACTATATAAGGACAGGCTTTCTCTCTTGGTTGCTACTCTGTGTACCACCACCAGTGTTTATAAGCTTAAGTAAAGGTGTAAAATTGTAAGTCAAAATGAAAATGTACTTTTTCTTTTTGTATATGAAAGGTCTTTATTGGTGGGGGAGGGAGGCTGCAGAGCAGCACCAAGGAGGAGAGATAAGAGAAAAGAGGGGAGAGAGGTAAGGAGAGAGTGGGGAAGAGAAGTGAGCTGAACATGTACTTGAAAGAAGATATAACTTGAAATACAAGCATTCTGTATTATTCTTCAGTCATCTTTATACAAATTCAGTTTGAGGAGTTGAAGTTGGACAAGTTACCAACATTTCTACACCTCAGGTTTACTGTCATCTTTGGGACTACTCATAATACCTAGTTCACATATTAGTGTGAGAATTGAAAATCTAGTATTTTAAATGACTTTAGCCGATTAGAATTCTTATGTGAAATACGGTAGGATTAAAATAAAGTTTCCTGTGGCTAAAGAAATGTGACAGTCTAGTCTATAGCACACTATCCTGAATATGTGACATCTTTTCTGACTGCTGAAGGTAAGTGGGGTTGGGCCTGAGTGGTACTTGGATGGGAGAAATGTGCTAAGCTAGATCAAATATACAATTTTTATTAACGTTATACTGGCATACGTGCATATAGTCTACTCTTAACCTTAGAATTATACCTTTTATAAAACTATCAGCAAGTATTTTAAGTATTAAAATAAAATATTGATATGATAGAACTATATAATTGGTGCCAAATATACAACCATATTTTAGTATTTCATACATAAATTCAACTTATTTATTTATTTTTTTGCAGATTTTGCCCGGGGCTGGGTTTGAACCTGCCACCTCTAGCATATGGGGCTGGCGCCCTACTCCTTTGAGCCACAGGTGCCTCCAGTTCAAACTGTTTTTAAGAGACATTCAACCAAGGTATAAATTAGATCATAAATCTTAGTTAAATCTGGGACATTTAAAAAAAATCTGTGCCAATATATTTTAAATAAATAAGACTGCTTCAGTGTAATTTCTGTGGTTATCATTATACACTTTAAAAATATGCACATATGCATTGTTTTATGTTTGATTTATGTCATCAGTCCTCTGTATATTTTTATACTGAAATTTTTTCACTCTTTTGTTAGAGTTGTTTTTTTTTTTTTAAAAAGCAATTCTTTTTTTTTTTTTTTTTTACAAAACAATTTAAAAACCACTATGCATACTGGGAGACTAGATAGAGACATATATACAGCACCTCAAAATGTATTGTATTATAAAAATTATCATAAAATATAGTTTCCTGTAAAATTATAGAATGAAGCTAAATACTAAACTGTTGACCACTCATCTCTGGAACACATTATTAGAGCTAACTGCTATCTTCTGTTTTTTTTTTAATTGTTGGGATTCATTGATGGTACAAAGAACCAGGCTACATTGATTGCATTTGTAGGTAAAGTCCCTCTTATAATTGTGTCCCATCCCCCAAAGTTGTGTCACACTCTGTGACCCCTCAATCCCCTCCTTCCCTTCTTCTTTCTGTTCTCCCATTTCCCAACCCTCACCATGTACTAGGACATTAATTGTCCTCATAACAGAATCGAGTACATAGGATTCTTGCTTCTCCATTCTTGTGATGCTTTACTAAGACTAAAGTGTTCCACTTCCATCCAGGTTAATACAAAAGATGCAAAGTCTCCATCTTTTTTAATGGCTGAATAGTATTCCATGATGTACATATCCCACAGCTTGTTAATCCATTCCTGGCTTGGTGGGCATTTAGGCTGTTTCTACATTTTGGCGATCGTAAACTGAGCTGTGATAAACAGTCTAGTGCAAGTGTCCTTATGGTAAAAGGATTTTTTCTTCTGGGTAGATGCCCAGTAATAGAAAAGAGCAATTCTTAAATAAGAATATATATCTTTATAATAGGCATACGAAGTATCCACTGTATACTCAGTTTCTTGTGGCTCTTTACTTATAATAGTTACATTTTGTTTGAAGATAAAAAATGTCACTATAAATTTTTTACAGAATTAAAATTTATTAATTCTGTTCATTATCATCTTCCATTTAGTTATTCTTGGAAAGGTCCAGGTCACATGCCAATTTTAATTTTAATTTTATGGTATAATTTCCTCATTTTTGTTTTAACCCCTTACTATATTAATTCAGTATGTCTCTTGTAGAGTTTAATTGTACATCTCCTATATCATTAAAGTTTCTGCCTCCTTAATAGCAAAAAATTTAACCCAACTTCATTTACTATCATCTATTAGCTTTACTTTTGGATATAATTTTTACCATTTTATTATTTGACTTCTATGTTTTCCTTAAAATTTAATGTGTTTCCTATCCTTTCTAAAAATAATTTTTACTATTTTAGAAAAACAACTCTGTTTTTAAAATATATCAAATTTAAGCTCCTATTTTGAATCAACATGTAAATCTCTACATCATAAATAGACTGTATCTATTGCAGTCTTGCCACATAAGACAAGAAAATAATAGGATTTACTTTCTCACATTTGTATATTTCCATTTCTCAGTTTTTAATGTAATTTAGGACATTTGTTCTAGTTATAATTGTTGAATTATTATGTTTTTTACATTGTATATTATCCTTCATGACTTATAGAAAGGGTAACACTCAGATCCTTTCAAAAGTTCGACAGGAAGCATAAATTATTGCAAATAGGTAGAAAAAGGGATGTGAATGAACATGCCCGGCCATCTACAACCATCTACAGCAGGCTGTTGCCACTCAGAAGTGCAGGGGAATCTATGCTGATAATTCATGCAAGTTAATTTAGATTTTACTTAAAAACCACGAGAAGTTTAATAATGTCTAATCTAAATAATCTAAAAACAAACAAAACATGTCCTCATTCAAGAATGTCCACAGGATAACTTCTAATTTGGAATATTTGGGGTCTGCTTGGCAACAAAATAACAAAAGCAATTTGTAATCCATTCTCTGCTGAAATGGTTTCAGAGCTCATTGAGATTACTTTGAAACTAAACGTTGCACTGTTGAATATTTTATTTTCATGCTTTTTCAGCAGACATTCAGGAAAGATGCATGTGTACAATTTCAGAACGCGTGCGTGGCTGACGATGTCTTTCTGTTGATTTCACAAACGAATGACACACAGGTGATTGGACTCTGTGTCTCAGCCTCTCTGTTTGCTCGCCCTGCCAGGCTCTGAACCCCTCTGCCTTCTCAAATTTACTAGTACCAGAGGTTCTAAGCATGACCTTTCCGTAAGATTTGTTTCTGACTTTTTGTTTATAGGGTTTCATAACCTTTATTGTTTAATACTTTAAATTTATAAAAGTTTAGGGCATGTCTAAGTGCATCTTTCAGGGTTTTTTCTAAATCTATTTAATAGTATGAAATGGGCCCTTTCATTTGTAAAGTCTTTGCCCAGTTAAGAAATGTAGATGTTTTTCCTACTGTATTTTAAAATAATTTCCCTTATACATTTATTCTGGCCTATTTTCAGAATCACCAGTTGTCCACAGATGGAATTTAGTTTTCTCTCTTTCCCATTCTTTAATCCATCCCATTCTTTGTTTTAATGTATTAATATAGAACTCTTCTAGTCTTTCTTTAAATAAATATAATTGTTCGATGCACTAATAATACTATATATTTTATTCCTTCTATTACCAATGAATATTCACCTAGAGTATAATTTTTTCTCACTTTTTTTGTCTTAAAGTTATTTTTGTTTGCATATTTTATTATCTCATTTTCATTTTCTTCTTGAGAGAGTCAAGATTTTCTTCTATTAGGACTAGAAAATTTTCTTCTATTAGGACTAGGAAACAGATGCTTTCTATGCTTGAGTCTATGACTTAAGTGAATATTTTTTTTAGAAGAAGAAGAGGATGACGTTCCTTCTATTAAACAGTATGTTTGTCTTTCTGTATTGCAAAGGATTTTTATACAGCTCATATTGTTGGTCTATACCTTGTCTATTCTCCCTTATAAATAGGTATAATAAGTCCTTACCAGCCTAGAAACTCCAACTCTAGTGAATAAATTCTTCTTGTATTAACTTTAATGCACTGATTTCTTTTATATTCCTTAACTCTGATCCTAAGATAACATGCAGGTGCAGCCTTATATTGTAGCAACATTTGGGGTGTCTGGGTGGCCGGAACAGAGGAAATTTTCACTATCATAACTGTCTGGTTTCTTCACTAGATATGGTAAAGTCTCCTTGCCACTGACCATTTTTAAAAAACAGCTTCATGAAGATTGATTCACAAACCCTACAATACCCCAGTTTAACGTGTATGATTCAATATTTTAGTATATTCACAGGTTATGAATTCATTACTGCGACCTCCAACCTGATTGCTTTGCTCATCCCGGCCTTCAAGTCACAGCACACCTACGTCTATCCTTGATGCCAGAATTCCAGTTCACTGAAGTCCCACAGATCTTATTTTGGGTTTTATTAAGCTTGCTATTTTTTTTTTTGATACAACTATTTCATAATATTTCTGACTCATAGCAGTCAAAAGTTTCTGAGTGCTTATCTGATTGTTTTTATTCATTCAGAACAATGCATTAGAAGGGGTTGGTGGGCTTCTGCTAGGATCTCTTCAGAAATGGGAGCTACAGATTAGTCCTCATTAGCTTACATCAAAGTAGCTGCAGCTGACCTTATTTAGCAGGATCTCCCTGAATTTTGTGGCAGGTGAAGTGGACACCATCCAAGCACTCACAGCACAGGGTAATTTACATTATTTTACATTACTTTGTTCATTTCAGCTGGTTTCTTGATGAAATGAGGAAGAGAAGGAGACAAATAAAACATATGCTTGGACTGCTATTTTCCTCAGAAGTCTACAGACAAATTTTTTTTTTTTGCAGTTTTTGGCCAGAGCCAGGTTTGAACCTGCCACTTCCAGTATATGGGGCCAACGCTCTACTCCACTGAGCCACAGGTGCCATCCTGCAGACAATTTTAAGCATTCCAATTTGTACAAATAATCAACACTTTGAATCCCATAAGGGCATAAATGTATTCATGATCTATGTACAAATGACTTAATAAAAAAATAAAAAATAAAATGTGAGAATTAACAATTAAAAATATATTTGATTGATTTCCATTTCTTCAGCTTTATAAGTATTGAGCAATAGGCAAGCATAATTTTTTTCCTTTCCTTTCCTTTCCAGCAGTGATAAAAAAAAATTCAATATCAAATAACTTACTGGTTTCAAAGTGGAAACACAATTTTACATTTTCTTCGAACAATAAGGGAGTATAAACCAATATATGGCAACACCTAAACAAAATGTGAAAAAGGAATTCAATACCATTTCTTACCTTGGTTTAAAGGAATAATTTTCAAAATTCTCAAAGTTCTTGCCTTCTGAAGCATTAGAATGTAGTTTAGAGGTATACATTTTGTTATAAACCTGTGGAATTAAAGTTATTTATAAGACGTGCTACTTATTCATGACCTTTTATACTTTTTTTTTTTTTTTGAGACAGAGCCTCAAGCTATTCCCCTGTAGGGTGCTGTGGCATCACAGCTCACAGCAACCTCCAACTCCTGGGCTCAAGCGAGTCTCCTGCCACAGCCTCCCAAGTAGCTGGGACCACAGGTGCCTGCCACAACACCCGGCTATTTTTTGGTTGCAGCCGTCATTGTTTGGCGGGCTCAGGCTGGATTCGAACCTGCCACCTTAGGTGTATATGGCTGGCACCTTAGCCACTTGAGCCCCAGGTGCCGACCTGACCTTTTATACTTTTTGAAACTTATTTTCAAAATCAAATATTCATACAATTCCCTTGCTCACATTTTTCCACTTTTGCAAATAGTTTTATTATTGAGTTAAAGACAAAGACGGCCACAGTGCCAGGTGGCCAGGTAAATATTAATCCACAAACCTTAATTCTGAGAATCTACAAATGTTTGACAGTGTGAATATCCTGAATTTCATATCAAATATTCTAAACTATGTTCATAAATATTATGTTATCTAGTTGCTAAAAGGAAAGTTAAAGTAAGAAAAATGAACAGCTAGTTTTTCAAAGAATGAGATTCTTTTTAAGTATTTAAACTCATGATGATGATGGGGATGATATGAGAATGACAGCGATGGTTATGGTAGTGATAGTGAGGCTGCCGAGGGTGGTGATGACGGTCAGAGACGATGACGGTAGAAGGCAGGCTGGGTACCGGCAAGGGCCACAGACTCTGGAGCTCAACTGCCTGGGTAGAAATCTAGGCTTCACCATTACCAGGCCAGTGCGACATGGGAAAAGGGCTTAAATCTCTCTTGCCTCAGCTTCCTCAGTTGTAAAGTAGAGCAAATAATACTTACTGATTCAGAGGCTTCTTGTGGGGATTTAATGAGTTAGCATATGTAAAGTACATAGAAGACCAGCTGGTATATAGGCAGGGCTGTCTGAGATTGGCTGACAACAATGGCAAAAGTAACCGAAAGAAATGGTAATAATGTTAAAAGTAGTAATGGTAATAATTAGAAATATGTGAGGTACTATGTTAGATTGCTTTCAACAGGTCAGACACTATGCTGTGTATAAAGGTTATTTTTAAAAAATTACCAGACTCTACAAATAGATCATCATTCAAAATTATTTATAACAGGAATGCCGGCAATCATTTCCATAGCTATTAAACAGAATAAACAGAAGTATTGAAAAAAAAGAAATAGACATAAAATCATTAGGATTATATGTAACACTCTAGAAAATTGTTTGGAGGTGAAATGAGAGTTTAAAATACCTATTTATATCTGAAATCTAGTATGTATATTTATTGTGTTAAGCAACATAGCTATTTGAGACATAGATTGGAGACTGAAAATCAAATAAGGTAGGATCCCCTCATAAATATTCAGGGAATTCTCCGCTTATAACTCACTAAAAAGAATCACGTAAAATATACAACTTCAGTCTCTATCATTCTGGCTTCAGATTAATGCTGGTCCCTATTTTGGCAAATCAGTCATGGCCATAAGCATGCAATCAATCAGGACATTAATTACAATTAACAGAAAATATCCCATTCTTTCGATTTTTTCATTGCATCCTCTGAGGCCTCATTCTTTCATTTGTAGCATATTTGCAGGCAGAAATGCTCATAGACCTCAAATATTTCTTGTGGGAAGCATTTGACTAACAAGATATGAAGATGCATGTAATTTAAAGAAGTACTCACTCAAACAAAGTCACGCTGAAGTCAAGCCAGTTCCATGGATCACCAAGGAAAGAAAATGATCCTGCCCAGAAACCTCTTGCAAAGAGTTTTATAATTATTTCAAATGTATAAATTCCAAGCAAAGTATTCCTGCAGAAAAATTTAAATGTAACTATCAAAGGTGAGAATAATACATTGTTACATTTGAGATACTATGTCTATAGTAACCACCTAATATCTGAGACTAAGTTATCTGAAAGGTGAGACTTGGTCTGTTGGCTAGGCCAAAACCATACACACACCAGGTTAGGCAACAGCTAAAAAAAAAAAATGTCCCATCTAAAGCCCTTGAACCTTAGCCCAGGGCTTTCAATAGTACATCTAGGGTAAGTTATGTTTTATAGCATTAGCCATGAAATTTGACTGTCAAATTTTTCCATTAAGTCAGAGCTCAGAGTTGATAGTCTTTATGCATTATACAAGTAAGTGATAAAAACACTGAGTATCAAATTTGCTGCCTATAGGGATTATACAATAACTTTAAGTAATGAAAGGATTGTGTAAGATTTAATTTGATTTTGCACATATACAAAGATTTTTTTTTAATGGTGAATGAGTGTCACAGTTCCCTTCAAAAGTCAATTATTTTTAAGAACTCAAAAGGTAACTTCAAGAAAGTTTTTTTTTTTTTTTCCCTAGAAAATGTAATGTGCCTTTCTGTCATTGTGGTTTATTGCAAGTCAGACTATTCCTATCTCTTAGGAAAGAGCAGAGAAGTGGAACAGAAAGGAAGAAAAAGTAATAGTTTTTCTAATAAGTCGAAAAAAATAAAGAGTTATTTGAATCAGAGAAAATCAGGTATAGGATCCCAATTGTAAAGAAGAACTGAGGTATTAAAATATTAAATTAATCATTAATAAATATTAAATTGTATAATGTTAGAAAATATAGTATATTGCATAACTTGAACTAAATTGCATAATTGTTATTGCATAACATTGAATTAAATGTTAAAAGTTAAAATAAAATATAATTCTATAAGATAGCATATGTAATAAAATTATATCACTTACTCTAATGCTGGTCCCCATCTTGGCAAATCAGTCATGGTCATAAATATGCAATCAATCAGGACACTAATTAAAATTAGCAGTCGGAATAAGGTACGTTATTATGAAGGAATAACAGACGACAAACAATAGTGGAAATGACCTATTTCTATAATCTGTTATACTGATATACTTACAAGATAAAATATTCCTTTGTGTGAGTTTTATTAATGTTTTATTAGTCATTCACAGTACCACTAATACTCTTTGTAATGAATGACTTTTGAACTAGGATGGTCCTTGTTAGGTTTTTTCTTTTTTACTTCCTTAATATTTTCAAATAAAGAAAAGAATTTTCCTAGATGTTAAAAAGTTATTAATCTTATTGAACAGCAACAGGAATTAATATCTGTTAACATTTACTACTGTTGTGTGTACTAGAAAATATATTTTGTATGATTTTCAAATGAAGAACATTTAATGAAGTGTGATGCAGATTTTAATGTGACCTATTATGATACATAAATTCAAAAGAGAAAAATACTGCAGCAATATGTGAATAATAGTATAGTTGCACTTGGTGTTCGCACAGTTTAAAGCACAGTCAACAAGCCAATAGAAGGATATGGATGGATCAAGACCTTGATGGTCGTTCCCCTAATAGAACTGAAAGGTGACAACGTGCACAAGATGGAGGAAGCGTTGAACCTGAAGATTGTTCTGTCTCTATTTAATACTATGAAAGTCTGTAGGAAGAAAAACACCAAGTGAAATTACAAGTCAGAACTATAATCTCATCAGTTATGCAACATGTCAATGATCCCTACAAGTCTTGATTTCCAACAGTTATATGCTTTTCTTCCTTTGATTTTTTTTATAGGCTACATCAAGTGGAAAAAAATTAACTGCTTTTATTAATGTTTATATCTGTTCATCTACAGTTTTTGTTTCTTTTTTGTTTGATTGGGGTTTTTTTGCTTATACTTAAGAAAAGTCATTGATCACACATCACTTCCTCAGGTTCCAATGTAATAGGAAGAACGCTATGTCCCCAGGGCTCACAGAGATAGGACCCGATGTGGTATATCTCAGAATTCAATGGACATAAAAGAAGTTAGATTTTATTTCAGAGCATAGCAAATGTGGAATCACAGTAGTAAAGAATATCAAATGTGTTGAAATAATATAGTAATCATAAACAATATTGGATGAAATAAAATTTGACTTATTTAAAGATAACATAAACATATCTATGCCAGAAATTTATATTATGTAAACCTAACATATTGGGATAATAAAGGATGAAATTCTAAAGCAAAATAATGAAAATCAGAAATATCCAAAAATTAAATAGAGTGATATATCTATAATATGCATGCATATATGTTTGTGTATGTACATGTATGTGTATATTTATATGTTATGAATAAGTGTGTATATTTTTATATTTGTAAGTGTGTATACATATATTTAGTGAAAGTGTGAATATATAAATTCACTAATTGTATTCATTTGAAAAAATATTTTTATTGTGGAATATGCATAACATATAGTATATATTTATAGATTATATTCTAAAATAGCATTTTTAATATATAACATAAGATCACTATAATATTCTAAAACTATAGATTGAATATTAATTATTACATGCTACCATATTATATATATTTTATGAAGATATAGTCAGAAATGACTTAAAATTCATATGTGTATATATAAAGAAAAATATATTACTTAATATGAATATACAGTCATCATTATTTATGAATACGTGTTCCAAATAAAAACCAAATTATGATATAATTTTCCTACTAAAACACTTCTCCAACCAAAATCTGTGACTACTGTGGCTTGTGTTGCTGTTCTTTTCCTCTCTCTATTTTAAATGAAAAAAGAAAATAAAAATAATAAAAAGCCAAAAAATGTTAGTATTTAAAGTGTGCTTTCCATGCTATGTACCAGAACAAATCCAACTTCACACAACATGTAATGTAAATACAGCCAAAATATTTGTCATGTGAGGAGAGGAGTAATTCTGGATATAACAATTTCCCAATTTTAAAAGCTGAAATTGTTTTATGCATTTATAATTTGTTATTTTTATGCCTTCTTTAACAGAATAAACTGAACACTTAAAAGTTTAAATGCATTGGTGCCCTTGATAATAGCACATTTTTATACTAAGCTATTCTTGCTGTTTTTGCCCTAGATGTTTTATAAAACTAGACCATAATTAACTCTGGACAATTACATTTGTCCATGGTAGGGCTAATCCTCACTTCCTACAAACTTGATCTGCTTTATAATTATTTCATTCAGGTCAATGGCACCACCATTCTTCCAAGCTAAGAATTTTGGCATTTTTAGCCAGTCAGATCCCGCTGTTTCCTCTCTTTTGTTTTCTCTCCTTCTCCTGTGCTGCTACACGGATAATTCAGGTCCGTTGACTTCCAGCCTGGATTACTCTCTCTCCTATTTCATCTTTCTGACCCTACCCTTTCTCTGCAATAGTAATTCAGAAATCTGCCAGATTAAGTTTATTGAAACATTGCATTCATCACATAAATCTTTTTGATCATCATATTAAATGCCCTCCATTATGTAGACATGTTATAGTTACTTTAGAATTGGTAACCACAAACAGTCAGTCATCATGCTCCCTTAAAAAAGTCATTTACATTAAGAATATCAGTACCTATATTAAGAAGTAAAGTTGTCAAAGCAAACTACTCAACCAAATAAAATATCGGCTTTGATAAACATCTCAAATATGTGTGCACCCAAAATAAAATATCTTATGCATTTCTCTATGATTTAAAATTAGCACGTCCCTGTTCATCATCTTCTTTTTATACCCTCTCAATTGTATTTTTTGCATGTCTGGGAATAACATTAAAATGTAATCACAATGATTTCAAATAATTCTCACATTTTTTTTCTTGTAGTAATACGGGTCCACATCTTCCAAGGGCTCTGACACCATTCCTTGAGAAAGGTTTCCATAAATGAACGGTAGCTTTTTGCCGACTTCCAAATCAGTGTCTGCCTTTAAATCTTCTTCTTCATGCTCCTCATTGTGCTTTTTGGCAATACGTTGTTTGATAAGTTCATAAGACTCTCTGGTGAAGGGGACAAGGCCCTTAGCTTCTACTGAAGCTGACATTTCCAATTTTGTTCCTGTAAGAAATGAATTTTTTCTTTAATTCTATATTAAAGTTGGGTGTGTTAAGAAATGCAAAATTTTAAAAAGGTTAAGAAATCGATAATAGAGTTCAACAAAGGAGTAAATACTACTCTAATAAAAGAGTTCAAAGGCTACTAGAGATCTTGTTTTCCTAGTCAAATCCAATTATTTCCTCGTGAACTTTATTTAACAACCGTTTACACTTTTTTTTTTTTTTTTTTGAGACAGAGTCTTACGATATTGCCCAGGTTAGAATGCCGTGGCTTCAGCCCAAGTCATAGCAATCTCAAAACTCCTGGGTTACAATGATCCTATCTCCTTTTATATCTCTGATTACTTCCTTTGATTCATTTTTAATACAAGTCGAATTTTAACCCATATTTTTACTCTTATATTCCCTGAAGTTTTGCTTTCCTACTCTGTTATATCCATCATTCTGATGAATGCATGGGTAAACACAGAATTTTAATTACTCTATTCAAATACTACATACCAAGGATATTTCTCAACACTCTTGCTTCTCCCCGCTGGCCCTGCTTCCCACATGGTAATTTTGATAATGGCAGCTGCTTAACAGGTAAAAATAAAATCTATTGTCTTTGGACATGGTTAGAATCACTCTTTAAACTCTGAGCTATTGTAAAAACAAAAACTCCAATTCATCACCAAATATCACATAGGAATTGAAAACTGCTTGTGACATTTTTCTCTCCCTCATCAATAACCTATCCTTACAGATAGTTTTCTTCCAACTACTGTCCATTATAAACCTTGAATATGACCTACATATATACCTACCTGAAGGGATTCATCTTAGTAATTCTATACTTGAGATACTTCACATATTTCAATTCTAGTCTTTACCTATTCAAGTCATTCTACAGGCCATTCAAAATAGCATTTATCAAATGTAATTCTTTACATCAATTCCCCATTCATGAACCTTTTCTTTTTTCACATATATAAATATGCTCTTTTGCTGATTTTGTTCTAGTCTAATTTCTGTTAAAATTTACTCAAGTGATCCTACTCGATGTTGAAAGATTGATTTTTCTTTGCTTGCCTAAAACCTCTTTATAATTTTATTATTATAATTAAGGGTAAGGAATTCTGTTCTTGATCCTGTGGCATTATTTGTATGTGTATATTTTCTCTTGCTGTGCCAGCACTAGCTGAGTTCCTGTATGAAAATTTTCTAAGAGAGAAATCATCCACACACACCCGTTCTATTCTAGAATTTCCCACTATTGTGAAAACTGAGTTGTTACTTTAACAAATTACTTGCCTAAGAAAAAGATAGCTTTAGGTAATATTTCTTAAATTAGATAATATTAATGGAGCACCACTGATTGTAAGTATAAGAATTCTACTGCTAGCTTAAGAACATGGAGGATGGGAGATATTTTAAATATACAAAAGACAATCTTATAGACATTCAAAGAGAGGACACAGTATAGCTCTGTATCATAAATGTGCTATGGAAAATAAAAATGGAAATAAAATACTGGGGTGACCATTTATGCCTTTCATGGGATCACATGTTTTCTGGGCTTTTCTTTTCAGCCACTGCCTTCCACCTGATAATGGCTTCCTTTGCTTATTTCTGAGGATATGATAGATCAAAATATTATTCCAGCATCAACTTTGACTTCTCAATTTAAGTTCTCACAGCATACCTGTAATATATATTTCAAAAACACAAAAAAGGTAAATAGAAATATACTCTAATTGTTTTGCCTAACCTATGAAATTCATTTCCCTTTGGTTCAGGCATTTGTGACCAAAGGGAGGACAATTTTTGCAATAATGGCTGCTTATCCCCAAGTCTCCCAGGAGTCTGGTGCAGAAGACCAGCATACGTCTACTTGAACTCTCCTTCAAAATGAATGGTATGAAAAAACTCACAATTTTTCACCTTAAAATTTACTTATTTTTAAACATCTTGCTCAATGCCATGTGCAAAACTGAGACTTATTAAAAAGTTTTCTAAAAAGTATTCATATGCACAATACGCACATACATACATGTGCATTAAATCTTATCAAGGCTATTTAACATGCCTCAGATAGGTACAATTTCTAAGTATAAGCTACAAACAACTAAGGATTCTCCTACAACACATACAAAATCCTTTCCCTTTAAAATATTTAATTAGCCTTTCAAAGTTATATTCCTTACACAGAAATCCTTATGTTTATATAGTTTCTTCACAACTCATAGTTATTATTTTAAACATTAATTACTATATTATGATAATATAGTGATTCTCCCAAAGGCCATTACTGAACGATTCTGTATGCTGTTAGAGTTCTTCTGTTTCCTTCTTTAGCAATCAGTTGGGACTTGATATTGTTTTGGTATTTCTAATGTGTTTCTTTTCTTGTAGGAAGTGAAGAACTAAATTTTCAGGGTGAAGAACTAAAGGTTTGGCCTTTTAAAAAAAGACACAGGTTTTATGGAAATTACTGGCTGCTCAGGAAATTTTTCTGTGTAAGAGAATCTATCCTATTTGTGTTTTATTTTCTCACCATAGCCTTGATTATTTTATAGATTTATATATATATATATATAAACTTTAGTAAATAAATTTATATAATGTCTCATAATATTAAAAAAATCTTCTGGATAGTATTATAATTACATGCATTCATAAGGGCTCGGAATCTGTGCCGAATGGATATGAACATTCAAATCCTCACTATTCTCTATAACTTGTTTAACCTGTCAACAGTTTCAATTATAGCAGGAAAATAGCCTAGAAAAAATTTTAAAACAAATAGAATCATAAACTTGGAACTGAGACCCACATCCAGATCCCAATCTCTGTTCCTAATGTCCTTAGAGACCTATGTCAAATTATTTAATATTTTTGAGCTTTCCTTAGCCATAAAATTAGGAGTCCTTCTCAGGATAAAGAGAGATAAATAAAACGATATGAGTGAAAACGCCTACTACAGTGACTGGCACAAATATATGGGAAATATTTTTATGTTTGATATATGAAATAAATAACATTTTAAATTTTTAATGGTGTTAAAATTTAACATAATAGAATGATGGGCCAAATTTAATATTAATAGCATGTGAATAATAAAATCTCCAAAATTTGGACTGAAATACAGATGTACTCAAGTACAGTAGGAACAACTACACATTTGTAGCAGAAAAAACTGTCAAGGGACTTTGCTTACCAGTAATTGCTATACAAATTCATACTAGTTTCTGCTGGTATAACCTTTTTATGCACTGAAGGAAGAAGGAGGAGGCAGTCCTTCTTCTATACTATGTACTAGGCTGTAATCCAAGAAAAACACACCTAAAAGCTATGTACAGAAACTGGAGGGCCTTCAGATGGTACCAGAATATGGATTAAAGTAAATGGACATCATATACAAGTTAAAAGAATGGAAAGTGTATAGTTGAGGCAAAAGAGTAGTGGAACTCTACTCTTTCCAAGTATCTGAATTATTCTAATATGGAAGAGAAATTAGACTTCTGTGTTTTTCAAAAAGTATGAACTAAGATCAATGAGCTGAACCCAAAATAGATTTGGCTCAGAATATTAAATAGCTTCCTAAAGAGCTGTCAAGAACATAAGTGTCTGATCTGGGCATTAGACCTTCCCCTTGACTAGCCATGTGGAAGCACAAACATGTGGACTTGAGATGATTTAAACAGAGGCAGACATTGATTGGTAATGTCAATACTTTGTGACTTTGGAACATTCTAATGCTAAGATCCTTGGATTGAATTTGCTGCACATTATCACATGACAGAAAAGTCTGGGTTAAAATGATAGTTAAACTAAACTTATACAGTATTGAATTAATAAAATTGAAGTCTTTTTGGTTCATGATAGGAGTAATTCTTCTATCTGATACATTTAGTGAACCACTATGATTGTGAATAAAAATTATTAAACACATGTTTGTTACACATATTGTCCATAAAAGTAGACATAGAGGCTACAAGCTTTTTTCAAAAGTACTGTCATTGAGGAAAATAGTTTGAACATCTTTTATTGAAACCTCAAGCTCCAAGTTGCTGGCCGAGCTTCTTATTACATAGCCCAAGTATAATCTCTTTTTTCTTCTCCTTTTACAACTCCATAGTAAATTAGTCTTTTACTCCTGATTTTGCTACCCACCATCTATGAAACCTTAATAACGTTCCCTGATTTTTACTGTCTTCATATGTAAAATTTGGAATCTCTCTTGTATCCCACAAGGTCATAAAGATTAAATCAGATCACAGAAAACGTGGACCACAGTACTGTTTTCATTAGTATTAATTCTCTCTCCCAATCCAGTAACTTACTCAGGTTTTTTTAATGATTACTTTGATGCTGAATGAAAACGCCCTGGTTGTTGACTAGATGAATGAATGGATGGTGGGTGTTGTCCTCTATGGTATTGCAAAGGAATGCAAGCACTTATCAAATGGAACTGGCATGCATCCAAATTCTAGATAGTTGAGTGCAGGCTTTAAATTATTAATCATTAAATCATATTTCAGCAAAATCATTTCTGTGGGGAATTTATATAATATGGTCCAGGCACTAGGCTTTCTGGTGAGCTATCTTAATACAGTGCTAAAATCTGAAAAATATAGAAAGATGAATAGTTAATCTGTCCATTAGACTGCCTTCTGAAAAATTGAATAGCTAAAGTAAGCTTTTGGAAATAATTGTAACAAAGTCAATTCAGACTTGGACTTTAAAAAAATCCAGTTGCACCAACATTTTATGATTGAAGTAGAGGCTATTTCTCTTCAGTATCAGTTGAAATTGCAGAAGTAAAAAACAGTATGGGGAATGAATGAATTCTTATAGCAAAAAATATATTCTCCTTAAAACAAATTTAAAATTGGAGTATGGATGCCATGGCACTCTACCCAGGGGAATAGCTTGAGGCTCTGTCTTAAAAATTAAATTAAATTAAATTAAATTAAATTTGCATATGATCCAACATTTATCATTACATGGCAATCATAA